GGTGCCAGTGACGAAGGGCGGCATCAGGTGCCTGATCCTGTTCAAGGTCATCGCCGAGGACGTGCCCCTGCTGCTCCCAGCGCGCTGGCTGGAGAGCCTAGGCGCCGTCGTGGACCTCGAGAAGGACACCCTCGCCGTGAGCATGGCCGGCCGCCGCGCGGTCATCCCCGTGAATCGGCAGCGGTCCGGACACAGGACCATAGGACTTTTGGACGAGAGCAGTCCGCAGGAATTCGAGATTCCAGCGGGCGCTCAGCTGGACTGGCCAGGACTGGGCACGAGCGATTTCAGTGCGTACGTTTCTCCCTCCACCTTCTGCAGTCTGTTTCCCTCTCCCGCCGATCTCCCGAATGCGCGTCCTAATTCGGAATTAGGACGCGCTCCAGGACGTCCAGGGCACCCTCGCCCAATGTTCCCGGGGGGCCTCTCTCGGGGAGAAGCGGTCGGGGCGGCCTCGGGCAGGCCAACAGGAGTCGAAGTGTTCCGAGGAGATTCCGATTCCAGGAGCCAGGAGGTACCACGAGCTGAGACTGAGGAGACGAGGAGGCAGACAGAGGCGGCGAGGAGTCGAGGAGTTGAGGAGAGCGTCATCCCGGGGACCGACCCTCCGAAGAGCTCTGGGCTCAAAGAACCTGAGAGCCAATCCCACCGCGAGATCACCTCCGAGAGCATCGGCGATGGGGCGACTCGAGAGGTCGCTGCAGGGTGCTCCTGGCTCGGGACGGTCGAGCAGTCTGGTGAGGAAGGACAGCAGGAAGGAGAGGAAGCCCAGCACACCGCGCCAGTCGGTCCGGTTCGAGGAAAAGATGGACACGAACAGCCAGGCGTCCTGGGAGCAGATTGGCGAAGAGGACGAGTCGGACTCGCCGACCGGCCTGCTCGGGGAGATGTCGTGGCCAGAGTCGACCAAGGCCGCCGGTCAGCTGACGATAGCCGAGAAGGGATGGAAACGCATGGTGGTTCAGTTGGCCGATCACATCGCAGCCGAGAAGATGACAAACATGATGCAGGAGATTCGAGCAGAGCAAGTGACCAAGACGGAGCAGCTGGAGTGCAGCCACCCGACCTCCGCGCTCTTCGAGACGGAGAACCAGTACAGCAGGTGGGCCAAGTGCCTGGCGTGCGACAAGAAGCTGTGGATGCGCCCGCTGACGAAGGAGGAGCGACGAGCCCAGCTGCAGCGCAAGGCCGAGAAGCAGGCCAGGAAGGAGGCGCGGCAGACCATGGAGCGGGAGCTGGCGCAGGAGGTGCCCTTCGAGCCGCCCAAGAGGGTTCACAAGGTCAAGCCACCGTCGACGAGGGCGGCCACGCCATCGGCATCATCCGGTTCGGGCGCCATGACGGAGCTGGGACAGCTGGCCAGCGCCATGCAGGCCAACACCGAGACGCTGGGCAAGATGGCGACGGCGATCGAGCGCCTGGCCAACAGCCACAGCAACTGAGGAGCAGCGGGGATAACGGGGAAGGAGCGGGAGGGAACGAACCCAACTCTCAGCGAATCACGGGGCCCCGGGATCCCAGTGGCACGTACTGTCTCGCGAGGGGGGAACCCGAGGGAAGTCACCTGATCTGGAGGACTGCGTCCGTGGCTCGCGCTCGACAGCTGCGCCGATCCGGCAAAGCCCATCGGGACACTTTTTTCCGTTCCCAGTCTGTGTGGTGGGACAGCGTCAAGGGGGCAACCACGACCCTCGACGAAGTCGCCGGGGAAAGGGGATGGATGCCCAGGGAACTGTCCAGGGACGAAGTCGAGGTGTTTTTCGCTCGTGTCGCGTGTCACCTCGTCGGTCGACCCAGCGTCGAGTTAGGAGAATGGGTCCGGGGGCTCGCCAGAATCAGGTGTCGAGGAAGCTCGAGGGTCCTTTACGACACGCTCGCGCCCGACTTCAGCGCTCGGCAGGTACAGACTCTCATTGCGGAGGCCCCGAGCGACAGCCTGAAGGTGGAGATCTGGGTCACCCCGCCGCCGGGATTGACCGGGGTGACCACCAACGTCCCTCCGCCCGGATCGACTGGAGCGACGACCAACGTCCCTCCGCCCGGACCGACAGGGAGGACTCCAGCCCAGGAGAGGGAGAAGCACCCCGGATCCGAGGATGTCGACGGTTCGCCCTTTGGGGGGATCCTCACCTTGGGATCTGGACTGCCAGTCCCGGGTCCAGAGCTCGAGGAGCTCACGTGCCACGTTCCCAGGGAAGTTCGGGATGCCGTTCTGACCGTGACCGGGGGGAAAACCGTCAGGAAGCAGAAGCGTCATCGGAAACGTTTGATCCAGGACTATCTGGCCGAGTCAGGTCGGAAGCTCGCGATGGAACTTTTCTCGGTCCGTCGCACGACTGCCGACTTGAAGGATCGGGGCTATCCAGTGTCTCGCAGCCTCGATCTTCGCACAGGCTACGACCTGTCGACCGACGCTGGAGAGCGAACGGCGTGGGCCCTGCTGGAGACCGATCAGCCTGAGATAGTGGTCATGTCTCCAGAGTGCCTGCCGTTCTCGATAGCCCGACGACCCAGTTGGAAAAGGATGTCGGCCGAGCGACTTCGAGAAGCCGAAGTAAGGGGGATTCGGTTCATGTCGTTCTGTATGAGAGTGGCCGAGCACCAAATGGCCAAGGGTAGGGGGTTTCTTCTGGAACATCCGGTGGGGGCCTGTTCGTGGGAGCTCGCCTCGGTGCGAGAGATTTTGAGTCGGCCAGGTGTGGTTTCCGGGGTCGCCGATCTCTGTCAGTGTGGACTGGCTGTTCAGGGGGGAGAGCCGAACAAGAAGCCCACCAGATTTCTCACGAATCGCCCCTCATTGTTGAGACCCCTCCTGCGGCGATGCCAGGGGGAGCACAGGCATCAGCATCTATGCGGTCGGGCCATGACCCGCGCCGCCCAGGAGTATCCTCCCGACCTCGTCGAGGCCATCAGTGAGGGGATTCTCGAATCGACCCGCATCGCCGCTCTCGGACACCGCGAGGAGTATCAAGACGAGTTTGCCTCTTTCCCTCACCCTCAGGAACCGGCGACTGCCACACTGGCCGCCGACGAGGAAGCAGATGACTCCGCCTCTGAGGGGGACCCGGTAGAGGATGAGGGGGAGCCCCGACCCAGCAGGAAGCTCAGCAAAGGACTTCAGGGGGAGGTTTTGAAGACGCACATCAACCTTGGACACCCTCCCCGGGACGCGTTTCTCAAGTTGCTGAAGCTAGCTCACGCTCGGTCCGACGTTTTAGAATACGTGAGGCATGATTTCCGCTGCGAGCAGTGCGACAGTCACGCCAAGCCGACCTGGCGTCGTCGGGCCGCGGTCCCGAGGACCTATCGCTTCAACCGCGTGGTGGCTGTCGATTGCTTTTTTGTTACGGTCCTGGGAACCAAAATCGCCGTCCTGAATGTCCTGGACCACGGGTCGGGGTTTCAGCAGTGCCACATGATACCGCCCAACGACGCTCTGAGTTCTGAGAACGTTTGGGCCGCTTTCGAGCGATGCTGGCTGCGAATTTTCGGTCCCCCCGAGGTTCTGATCAGCGACGGCGGAGGGGAATTCTTGGGAGCCTTCGGGAGAGGGTGCGAACACGTTGGAACCTTCCAGCACGTGTGCGACTCGACCTCTCCCTGGCAAAACGGCAGGGCGGAAAGACACGGGGGCTGGGTCAAGGATGCGGTTTCGAAGGCCTCAGAAGTTGTGCACCCCAAGACCCTCGAGGAAGTGGAGCTCCTCATTTACGAGACGGTGGCTGCCAAGAACAGATACTACCACCGCTCAGGGTACTCCCCGTACCAGTTAGTCTTTGGAGAGAATCCCCGTCTCCCCAGGGCCTTGCTCAGCGATGAGGGAGTGGACGATGTCGGGGTCGATGATGTGACTCAGGGGAATGTCGAAGGCTGCGACTCAGCAGCAGGGGCATTCGCGAGGAAGCATCAGATTCGGGAACAAGCCAAGCTGGCTCTCATGTCGGCCGATGCGAGATCACGCGTGTCAGAAGCCAGTCGGGCGCGGCACCACGCCGATCGAGCGTACGTGCCTGGGCAGTGGGTCTACGTCTGGAGGAAGCTTATCGGGGCCAAGAGCCACTCTCTGCAGCGAGATCGCTGGGTGGGCCCCGGGGCCGTCGTGGTGCAACGCGGCACCACAGTATGGGTTGCGATGAGGACGAAGCTCTGGAAATGCAGCACCGAGCAGGTCCGGGCCGCCACTAGGATTGAGGCCCAGGGAGCCGAGTTGGCGGACACTCCGGAGTTCAGGAGTTTACAAGAGCAGGTCAAGAACCCAGGTCGCCGTATCGGGGCTCTCGACGTTGCGCAGGAGGGCCCTCCTCCCGAGGAAGCCTGGGATGCCGCGGGCCCTCGGGCCGAGGAAGCCGATGGTCGGTCTCCCCTCGGCGAGGTCGGCGGAAGGCACGGTGGCCAAGCCCCAGGGCCCATTCTGGAGGAGGAGCCTCAGCCCGTTCCAGAGCATGCCTCGGTTCGTTCGGATCCCGGTTCGGTGCGTGAATTGGGGGAGTCAGTGCCTCTCAGCCCGGCCTCTAGGATGCCGGAGGCCCTGTCCGACCTGGGGGATGCTAGAGAGAAGGAGGAGAAGCTTCACGTCCCACCCGAATTGTCAGGTCCTCCCGCGTCTCGTCCTAGGACGAGCAGTCAAGTGTCGTCCCTCGGAGCCCTGCCGCCGCAGGTCACCGGCAGCCAGACCGCGCCGAGACCGCCACCAGAGGAGACGGCTCGGAGCGCCGATCGAGACCGCTCTCCCCGAGCAGTCACTCGAGTCTCTACCCACACTCGGCGTCCAGGATCCCCAGTTAGAGGGCTGCTGACTCGAGACGTTCGGGTGACCCCAGTCGAAGCCAACGAGGGCTCCTCCGTTATCGAACGAGTTCAGGAATGGGAGAGGTTAAGCAGACCCGGAGAGGGGATCGAGCCGGGGCCTCCGGTAGGCCTCGCCGAGGAACCCGAGGGGGGCACCGGGGACTTCTGGATCGACCTGGGACCAGCCGATGACGGCGAGGCGGACCCTCAGGATCTGGACCTTTTCGCTGAGTTTCTTCAGGAGTATGTTGGGAGCGCTCGGTCCCCCGAGGAAGGCACTTTCGTTGTGGGTGAGTCATCCTCGTCAGCCAGGCCGGACGCAGGGACAAAGCGGGGTCAGGAAATTGTCTGGAAGCACCTGAGTCCCGAGGAGAGAGCTCAGTTCCGTGAGTCGGACGCGGTAGAGTGGTCAGCAATGACTCAGACGAAGGCAGTGCATATTCTTCCTCCCCCCGAGGCCGCCCTCATTCGTCGCAAGGATCCCTCGAGGATCCTCTCGTCGAGGATGGTGCGTCGGTGGAAGCCTCAGGAAGGTGCCGAGGCGAAGGCGCGTGCGAAGTCGAGATGGTGCGTTCGAGGCTATGCCGATCCGGACGCAGAGAATCTGAAGGTGTACGCACCCGCGCCTCAGGAGGAGGCTGTTCTCGTCGCTCTACAGCTGGTCGCTGGCAAGAAATGGCAGCTGCAGATCGCAGACTGCAAGAACGCTTTTTGTCAGGCTGATCCCCTCTGTCGTCCGAATGGTAAGATCTACGTCGAACCCTGCGACGGCGTCGATGCGCCGAAAGGAAGCCTACTGGAGCTGGTGGCGCCTGTGTACGGGCTCAACGATGCCCCGATCAGGTGGCATCAGACGCTGACGGCTTTCCTTCGCTCGCTCGGCTATCGTCGGTCTCTGCTCGAACCGTGCCTTTGGGTCGCCCACTACCCTACGGGGGGATTGAAGTCACTGATCGTCATTGAGGTCGATGACTTGATTATTGCCAGTGACCCCCAGCACGAAAAGGCTGTCAAGGAGCAGCTCACCAGCAGGTTTAAGTTCGGGAAGTGGCAGTCTGGAGAGGCCGAGTACGCCGGCCGTCGCATACGTCAGATGCCAGACGGGCGTATCTTGGTTGATCAAGAAAAATACGTGCTGGAGCAGGTTCGACCGATGAAGTTAGACCGCCAGAGGACAGGACAGCCAGAGCAGCTGCTCGACGAGCGAGAGCTCCGGGACTACAGAGGGTTGGTAGCCAAGATTTTGTGGGTCGGGCGCCAGTCGAGGCCAGACGTTTCGGGATCAGCGTCCATTCTCAGTGCGGAGTGCCCTCGCGTCACAGTTGCCTCGGCTATGATGGCTAATCGTGTTGCTAGATACCTTCGCGGGACCGCCTGCAATACGATTACGATCTGGCCGCTCGATCTGGCAGCCGTGACAGTGATCACCTGCAGCGACGCAGGCGGCCCCGGCTCCGCCAAGCGAGACGGGGCCCAAGGGGCCTGGATGATCCTGCTCGGGGAATCCCGCATTCGGCATAATCAACGTGCGAAGGTCTCTCTGCTTTCCTGGCGCAGTCAGCGTCTGCGTCGTGTCGTGTCGTCCACCCTGTCCGCCGAGACGTTGAGTCTTTCAGGTGCTTTAGCAGAGGGACAGTGGCTTTGGCTGGTCTTTAGGGGCGCGTTGTACGGGGACGTCCGGGGGCCCGACTGGTGGACCTCCAGCTCCGCCTGCCCGTTCGCTGTCGCCCTCCCGGACGACTGCGAGATCGCGGTGGCCTCCCAGGGAGTCTCCATCGTAGACGCTAAGAGCCTCTTCGACACTCTGTCAAAGAACTGTGGAGGGAGTAAGGCGGATCGACGTAACAGCATCGAGATGGCCATAGTTAGGGACTCGATGATCGCCAGCCTCTCGACTATCAGGTGGGTCCCCCACTGTAAGATGCCCGCCGACAGTCTGACCAAGGTGGACCCCCAGCGCGGCAATTACGCTCTGGCCGATTTGATGGGGAAAGGCACTCTGGCGCTCACAGATGAGACGGGATCGCTCGACGAGAGATCCCTGAACTTGGCACTCAAGTCCCGATCTCGAGCGTCCTCGAGGAAGGTTTTGGCCCAGGAGTCGTTTGCCAAGGAGGAGACCACAGGGCGGAGCCCCGAGGAAGAGGAGGAGGAGGAGGCAGGTGGCGAGAGAGAGGAGGCCCCTGTGGAGAAGAGGGAGGCAGACGCTGTTGTAGCGCTCCGGCCTCGACGCACTCATTCCGTGATCAAGCGCGGGAGTGGAGGAGACCCGTGAGGAGGAGACGCGCTGCGGCCGCCAGGACTACCATCCTGTGGCCGAAGTTCAGGTATGCCTGGGCCGTGCCCGCCGTGTGCCCTCGTGGGGGGGGGGAACTCGGGTATTGCGAGAAGGGGGCCCGGCGTTCCGCTTGCGCTGATTTTGAAAGAGCTCGAAGGGTGCTAAAATAGGGGGCACTGTCTTGTATATCCTTGCCACCCCACCCTTCGAGCTAGATATGTTGGGAGCCTGTGTGAATAGTCTCGTGCTTTGCTATTCTGTGCCGCAGGCGTGCGTGTACTGTGATTGTTGTGGCTCAAGTCTCTGAAAACGTGGGGAGGAGAGGCGGGCCCCAGAGACTCTCCGTCGCCCCCTCCCTGCGCCCGTCCACCCCTCTCGATCCGATCGTCGGCTCACAAGGGTGGTCTACCCGGAGGGGGCCACCATCTCGGCGG